TCGCTTTCTGTTGACATGTGGATTCCGCCGACACTCTGACATCCGTAACTATCTCCACCTCTCAGACCATCTAAATCGATATCCGTCCAGCGACCAGAACGTTTCACATTTTCTTCACGTCTACAGCGACTATCACAAGTGACAACATCTAACCAGACCACTCCACTAGACATCTCCAAACTGCACCAGACCACTCCACTAGACATCTCCAAACTGCACCAGACGGCACCGACTATGTACTCATCTCTAGACCTAGCAACTAAGTTCACTTTGATTCACCCTCTCTTTCTCGCTTTTGACAACGACACTAAATGCTTATGATAAAAACGGTAATAATTTCGTGACAGATCATTTTAATAAGACAACAATGATGAATTCATTAAATATCATAAAACGTTTTTCCCTCTACCAACAGGTCTTTTGAATTACACAGTTCAAAATTTCAACAGACGTGGAATAGACATTATTGTAGCCTGAAGAGAGAAGAATGAAGCTCAATGTATTCATTCTAATCAGTAACGACTAATGTTCGAAAGATCTTTACATTTGTGTGAGCAGTCAAATACAGATACTGAGATATTCGAGATCCTATATTTGTTCGTGATTTTTTCTGTTAGACCGGAGTTCACATCTGAACTAAACATTCATCGAACGAAGTCTGTTAGTGATTGATCTGTTTTAACGCAAAATCAAGATTATTCATTCTTTTTCATAGTTGAAAGCGTGAGTCAATTGAAGCTAGACCACCGTGGAAAACCTGGAAACACTGGACGGCCGTTTCGTCCTATTATGGGACTCCTCAGCAGTGCGCATCCACGAACCCGCTCTCGCGAGATTCGAACCCAGGACCTATCAGTCTCGAGCCGAGGCCCTTAACCGATAGACCACTGAGCTGGCATCCAACGGTGTTAATGTTTAACTTCAACTGATCCATGAAGTTGAGCAACCATTCACCAATTGACTTCAGTGAGTTCCTATCTCACAACAGACGTGGTTTTGAAGTTCACTGGTCACTGCTTCTCACTAGAGCTCCTAGATATACTTCTCCAAGTCACTAGTGAGCATATGATTATATTAATTATTAGAAGGGGTTTTGTGGAGATTTGGTATGTTTCATAGTTGAAAGCATGAGTCAATTGAATGTTATTATCAGAAGGGGATTTGTGGAGATTTCAGTATATTTCAAAGTTGAAATCATGAGTAAATCGGTTAAGGGCTCTGGCTCGTAACTGGTAGGTCCTGGGTTCGAATCTCGCTCGCGAGAGCGGGTTCGTGGATGCGCACTGCTGAGGAGTCCCATAGTATGACGAAACGGCCGTCCAGTGCTGCCAGGTTTTCGATGGTGGTCTAGCTTCAATTGACTCATGATTTCAACTTTGAATGTTATTAGTTGGTGAATTCACTGCAATCCGATTATCTTCCACATTATCACCGAGAGACAGAAGTTAATTGGAACTGAGATGTTTGTACTACCAACAAGTTTACATAATTTTGAAGCCCTTCATTATACCATCCACACACATGGATTATGAGATATTTTAGTATTGAATCTTCCCATTGATGTTTAGGACTGTGATTGATCAGCATCTTCCTGGCTTATGTGCATACTGTGCGGATTATCTTGTTATAACCTTAATCCACAAACACTATAAGCAAAGATGGATGGTTGGCCAGCAGTAGAGTCCAGGAGGCTCGTTTCTTCCTTCGGGTGTACCTGCATCTCAGAGTTAGTATTAACTCTGGGACTCGAATCGATTACAGTTTGCTTCAAACATCATCGCGTTATCCACTCAGCTATTAAGTCCTGATAGCCACTCACAAATGTCAGTTTTGAAATCCCATCATCATTCATCAATAACGGTAAATAACAAATTCCCCGACTTCTAACTGATTTACACACAACCGAACATCAAAATATGAATCAGTATTTCAGTAGTAAGGTTCCATACATTATAATAAAAAGAAAGAATGAAATGAAGGTTCTAAATACATGAGTTCGCTTAACATTTATCCTTATGTCAATGTCAATTCAATTCAATAAACTAATGAATCAGGGATACGCTCAGACTTCTATCATGTTGATAATCATCAATGAATCAAGGCACGTAGTCGGCAACTTGTTTGATGTATCTTCAAACAATTCGATTTCACATGATTTCCTTTATCAACTTAAATGTAAAAATAGATTTTGAAAGCTTTTTTTCACTTTTAAGTCTATCCTTTCCACCGTCTTGTTTTCAATGACACCATTTGTTTTGACAGCTTGTTCTGAAATTTACTTCGTCATGTGATACATTCTTTTCGCCATCTTTTCGTATCAATATGGAAACTACCCTAAACAATATGAATTGAATGTTGATGTGCAAGCTATTGGAAACGGAGTATCTATGTGAAATGTGTATGATTCTTTTGATATTTGATGAATTAGACTCAGTTGATTTTTTTTCTGTCTACTTATTTTCACTCTCACTTTATTTATTGTAAACGAAAAATGAAGCAATATAGAAAAGTGATAAACCATTTGATGGTGGAAATTTCAAGTTCCATTCACAGTGTCTGAACGTTTCGGAGTTGATCGTCGATGAGATGATGGTAGAGAAATGTTCATGGATCTCATTGTAGATTAGAATAGATGTTTAATATTTCTTGATTTTCAATGATTCTTTAAGAAATCAGTTTTTGAAATGAACTGTGATTGTGGAAATAGAAGATCAATTCCTTGACGAAATCACTTTTTTCGATCTAACTTGGATATGTAATTGAAATATACACATTATTTGTATCAGATTGTACAGTTGTATTATAATATCGATAGTACAATAATGAACGGGTTGATGGTTTCATGTCTTAGAATATCTGTCTTTATATAGTCAAACGATAGGACTGAATCAAAACAACGGTCGATTCTTGAAAGTGCTGTTTCGAACAAATTTAGTAAATATTCATTTTATGGTTAGTAGAGATGGATAGTGGCTAGCAGTGGAATCCAGGACGCGCGTTTAGTCCTATTTGGGACTCGTCAGCTGGATGTACCTGCATCTCAGTTTTGATGTTCACTCTGGTTTCGTGTTCGATAATTATTTCTATTTTAACATTTATATATCATAAGTAACTTCCATAAAGTACATACCTTTGATCCTAAAATATATTCATGAAACGGTATTGCTCGGCATTTAATTATGCCATTTGCGATTTTTTGTGATTAATATTTCGTTTTACAAATAACCACTGTCTGATATCTGGTTATCATCTAAAGCTAGTCACTCTTAGACGACCAGTAATTCCCATGTCCTTAGTACGGCTGAAATGTAGTCATCCGTAGGGTAATTTGGGAAAGACGATTGATAGATTACAGTCTTAGATATCAAACAGAAGAAATCACCAACCGTGAACAATGATTTCAAACACGTTTTCACTTGTTCAACGTGTTTGAACATAGTGGTTACGTAACTGCTCCTGGAGCCCCTTCTCGGCTACTGTGCCCCTGGAGTTCGAAGATCTTCATTTAAAAGAGTTATGTATCATGAAGAATTCCGAATTCCTTCGGAAGTCGCAAGGATAATGCCTATTCTGACACCCGGAACAATCAAGAATTTATGTACATGGAATGTTTATTCAATGTGGGAGACTGATTGAGTCAACCCAATTGCTGCAGAAATGGAAAGATACAACCTGGAGGTACTTGGAATCAGTGAAACAGATTGAACGCAGTTTGAACAACAACGACTAGCTTTAGGGGAGATCCTGTTTTACTGTGGCCATGAGGAAGAAAATAGCGCACATACATAAGGAGTTGTATTGACTCTGTCCAACTAAGCACAAAATGTACTTATATTATCGGAAACTCATGGACGAAGGATCATCAAAGCCTCCTTCGAAACAGGAGAAATATCGCATTACAATGAACGTCATCCAAAGGACTCGACTATTCTGATGGGAGATTTAAATGCCAAGGTTGGAATGGACGATACTGGATACGAAGAGGTCATCGGACTACATGGACTGGCTGGGAGAAAGGAACGAAAATGGTGAGAGATTTGCAAACTTATGTGCCTTCAATAAACTGCTCATAGGCGGCACCATATTCCCACATAATCGCATACACAAAGCCACATGGATTTCACCGGATCACACACTAAGAAGAGCTAAATCGACCATATTTGCATCAACAAAATATTCAAAAGGACAATGGAGGATGTGAGAACCAGTAGAGGAGCTGATATGGCATCAGATCATCACTGTTCGTCGCCAAGATGAAACTGAAACTGAAGAAGAATTAGACAACGGAGCAGACAACACCACAAAAGTTTAATACTACCCTTCTACGGGTTACTGACAAACTCAACGCATTCAAGATAACTCTCGGCAATAGGTTACAGGTCCTTCATGGTCTACTAAATGGGGGAGGGAACTACTATGGGAAACAACTGGATAGGAATCAAGAAGGCAACCACTTCAACACATTATGAGGTTCTGGGCCACAAGAAATACCATCACAGGGAATCGATGACTGTTGATAAACTACATGAGATTGAAGAGAGGAGGAACAATAAGGCAGTAATCCACCTCTAAAAGAAAAAATCTTAGAAGATGAGAAACATCTAACCTGAAATATAATCAATACAGTATAATATCAACCTATGATGTTCAGTAATTTGATCAACATTATTCATGTTCTTTTGATCAAGTAGCTTGTTTTCGTCTTAAGGACACTACTTAACTGGTTGCCTGATACTGTTTTTTAGTTGGAACAACCTCTCTATTTTGTTCCAGTAACAATTTGTTTTGAAATAAGAACAAAATAATGAACAAAATTCATTGTTTAAATGAGAAGAAATTCAATAATAATACTAATGTTGTATATTTGATTAAGATCAAATGACAATATGGAATCAGTTTTTCAAAATGGAATGATTCAAATTCATCTTTGACATTTTGTTGAATGTTCTAGTGTGTGTGTGTGTGTGACCATCTTCTTTCTTCGGATCTTCAGGAGTCATTTATGCCGATAAAGAATTACCATCTTCAAATTTACGTATTTTCATAATAGACATCACCAAATAGATCACTTGAATAATACCGAATATGAAACATAGATACATGATTACATTTAAATAATGTTGTGTATATTCACTTAATACTGTTGTACATCCCTTGAATAAGATAAGAAAATGTTTAAATACAATGGGAATGATAACTGAAAATGTTTATATTACAGTAAATGTAAATGGATCATTTTGAAAATGTGAAACATTGTGAAGGTTCTTACATCGTGAACGATTCAGAACTGTGTTGTATTAGATAAGAGTCTATTGTTGTGTTTGTTGAAGAAGTGTCAGTAATGACAACAGATACTCCAATCTCGAGAGGGAGGATCGTGGATGCACACCACTGAGGAATCACGCAATAGGATGAAACGATCGTCTGGTGCTTTCAGGTTTTCCATGGTCAGTCAGTCAGTCAGTCACAACGTAGAACTTCGTACGTACGTACATCAGTTCGAGTTGCCATACCACATTAGCACAGAGATGCAGTTGTCGATTCAAATCCCATAGTGGTAGAAGTAGTAGGAGTATAATCAGAAATCCAAAAGATTAGGGGTTTGAAGAAATTATTGAAGGAGTATAGTACAGTGAAATAAATTTGGAAAGAGAAAAAGATAAAGACATGAGGAATTCAGAAGATTAGAATTTGGTAGAACACAAAGAGTGGATGCATCTTCGCCATTGCAAACGATTTTGAGCCATGTCATTCAAGGTCTCTAACCATCGGTTGCTGTCATCTCGCGAATCCCAACCAGGTAGTCTACACCTACCAACATGGCCCAGTCCACTTGTCAGTGACTTCATTGATTTGTGCCACGTTTTGGTCTGGCCACCCCTAGCTTTCTTCCAACCTACTCCTACACCATGAAACATTGCACGTCGGGGCAGTCGGTGGTCGGGCATACGTAACACATGTCCCAGCCATCTCAACTGATGAAGTTTCACTACTTCATCAATCGATTTGCCATCCCTACCTAGTACTCGTTTCCTAACAACTGCATTACTTACCCGGTGGTCCCAGGATATACGAGCAATGCTTCGAAGACACCTATGATCGAACACTAGTAGCCTACGAATATCCTCTACTCTTATTGGCCATGTTTCACTGCCATAGAGTAGGACGGAGCGAACTGCTGCACAGTAAACCCGTCCTTTGGTTGCTAGACGGATATCTCGCCTACGCCATAAATGACGCAAGTTGGCGAAAGCTAGACGAGCCTTCTGTATCCGTGCTGAGATTTCGTCACATACCAGACCACAAGGGCTGATGAGACTTCCAAGATAAGTGAAGTGGTCTACACGCTCAACTACTTCACTCCCTATCATTAGTTCAGGTGTCGCTGCAACCCAATCCTGAAGTAACATTTTGCACTTCGAGGGAGAGAATCGCATTCCGAACATGCCTGCATAGTTGCTTATAGTGGTCAGAAGACTCTGCATGTTGTCAGCGTCTTCACCGAGTAAAACTATGTCGTCGGCATATTCTAAGTCAACAAGTGAGCCTCCTGGTAAAAGTTCAACTCCTGGAGGTTTAGCTGATGAAAGTGCTATCTCTAAAAGTAAGTCAATGACAAAGTTAAACAAGAATGGGGAGAGTGGACAGCCCTGACGAACGCCACTTGTGGTAATCAGTTCTGATGACAGTTCACCATAGGCTCGAGTAGAGAGCCTTTATGAGGTTAATGTACTTCTTTGGTACTCCTTTCAGTGACAAACATTGCCATAGAACCTCACGATCAACAGAGTCAAATGCCGCCTTAAGGTCAAGAAATACTACTATTGTGGGACGTCTGAATTTGTGTCTATGTTCTAGAACCTGACGTAGGGTGAATATCTGGTCTATGCAACCACGTCCAGGTCGAAAACCAGCTTGGTTTTCTCTAGTCTGCTCTTCACGAGCTTTGGTTAGGCGACCTAGTATTATTGAAGCTAATATTTTAGACACTATATTAGTCAAACTGATCCCTCTGTGATTGTCACAAGAGGACTTTTGTCCTTTCTTATAAACTGGCACAATCAGTGATTGGGACCAGTCAGATGGAATTACGTCCAGTTCCCAGATTCTACCTAAGACCTCAGTCAATCTCACTGCTAGTACTGGACCACCATCCTTAAAAATCTCAGGGGTCAACCTGTCAGGGCCTGCTGCTCTCCCTCGCTTCAGATTTCCTATAGCTTTTTCAACCTCACAGAGGGTTGGAGGACTTACATCAATTTGCCATTCAGGACGACTGGGGATCGTGGGTAATTGAAGTGTGGCTGAAGGCCAGTTGAACTGATCCCTAAAGTGTTCTGCCCATCGATCCAACCTCCTGGATTGAGAATGAATAATATGCCCATCTTTATCTGAGATGGTTTCACTGATATTCGGGTTCCTAATACCGGTTTCTTTAACGAGTCTGAATAGCTGCCTACTGTTACCTATTGCCGCTGCCTTTTCCATCTCTCTTGCTTTCGCTACCCACCACTGTTCACGATCATTACGTAGACTTCTTATAAGCCTGCGATTAAGTTGACTCCGCTCTTCGTTATGCTCAGAGCCAGGTGGGATGAGTTTACGAGCATCTATCAGTGCGGTAGATGCTGCCGAGATCCATTGTTTCTCCCTAACGTTATGGTTTACCTTATTAGTGGATATCACTGCTGATTCCACAGCTTTTCGGATGTCATTCCACGCTGCCTCGGGGTGGACACAACTTACATGGCTGCCTAACTGTTTTTCCAGTTGTTCCTGAAATATATTCTTAGCTTGCCTACCATTAAGTAGAACCCTTAGAGGCTTCCCTGCAGTGTCTTTCCTACGTCCAGTAAGACGCAGACAAATACGTGCTCGCACTAGAGCATGATCTGAATCTAAGCATGTGCCCCAGAATGAGCGACAGTCTTCTATCGAGCCCCTCCATCGGTGGCTGATAGCGATGTGATCTAATTGGGTCCAACGTTGGGACGAATTCGGGGGTCGCCAGGTCAAAAGATGTTTTTCCTTATGCTTAAAGTTAGTATTTGCAAGAAATAGGCGGTTATCTGAGCACAGCTGCAACAGACGGTCGCCATTATCTGTTCTTTTCGCCATGACACCATAAGATCCACCCAGGTGTCCTTCCCTTTCACTTAGTTTACCTACTTGAGCATTAAAGTCACCTGCTACTATTACTACATCAGAACGCCTAGCTTCTCGGAGAAGGTCAGAAAGTTTCCTGTAGAACTCATCTTTTATATCGTCTGAGCTGCAGTCAGTGGGAGAGTAGGCAGAGACGACGAAGAGGCAACGACGAATTTCCCTATCTTTCCGAGTCCTTACTGATCCGTTTAGTCGAACAGCGCATAGACGACTGTCTACTGGGATCCAGTCTAAAAGAGCTAGTTCTGCCCTAGGACTTAATGCTATACCTACTCCAGCGAGGCCACGGGAAGCAGCGTCAGGGCTTCCAGATACACGGAGCGTGTATCGAGATGAAACTTTATTTTGATTAGGTGCGGTCAAATGAATGACACTACTCGGATCTTGTATGCGCGTTTCGGAGACGCAGCACACATCGATGGTGTAAGATTCTAGAGTCCTAGCTAAGGAAGCCTGTTGTCCTATTTGGCACAATGTTCGGACATTAAAAGTTCCTATATGTAGTTTAGAGCGTGGTTTCAGGAGACCAGGGATAACGTTCTGTGTACTCGAATCGTTTGCCCTAGCGGTGCGACGCGATAAAAGGACGTGGGAAGGGTTAGTCGAGGAGATAACAGAGTTATTAGGTGTAGGAAGGATTTGAAAGCGACCAACTTGGTCTTGTGTGCAGTTAAGGGTATGAGGGCTAGTATCACTTCCCGGCTGCCCACACCGTGGAAGGGTATTTCTTGAGGGACCTGAAAAAGAAGTTGGATTAGTGTTGGTCTTAACGACCTGGGAGCGTGACCGCAGTGCCCAAGGGACATCTGCTTGAGGCCGGTCACGCACGGCCTTTTTGTGGTGGATTTTTGACGTGTTAGCTCCGTTCTTCAAAAGTCCTTACCGCCGGAGACGGAAATCCGTGGGATAAGGCGAGGTGTGCATTTTTAGGGTCGACGTTTTCTAACCCCACCCCTCCTTGTGGGAAGGCAGCATCGCTGTCATGCTGGTTGTCTGAAGGAAACACCTTACTGCTTTCACACCTCTGTACAGTCAGCAGTACGACTTCGCCTTCGGACCTTGGGTTTGCTGCTTTTAGTCTCACCGCTCTTCAACCGACCTGTCTGGCATGGTAGGACCTTGAGGAACGATTGTTCCAGTCAGCATAGCTCGATTGGATCATCACGATAGGCAAGCCCGACCACCACGTCAAGGTAGCAGCAACGGTCGGGGTTTTCCATGGTGGTCTAGTTTCTATTGATTCATAATCTAAACTATGAAAAACTCAATGGTTTTAATAATTGTAGTTGCCTAGAAGAATAGCATTATGTGATCAATCCTACATCGAGGATACCTTATCAACATGTTGACAAATGTTTCCTAGATATTCCATCCCAAAGTTTATTTATCCGAAATAAGCCATTTTTATGACCTTATTGAACTCTATTAAAATATCAGCTACATTATGGTACATATATTCTATGTCGTGACCAGCTGATGGGAACCTAATTAAATAAAATGAGGTTGCGAGGTATGACTTCGAAGTTAGCTTGTTCGTTATACCTTTACCGTCTTACGCAAATAGGCCTCCAGTCATTCGACATAGATCATCAACGTTGATGGTCTACATTTTGAGCAAGTGATGGTAACCTAATGAAATAAAATGAATTCATATCATTCTGCATCGATCTTCGTTCTTGCTCTCTTTAAGATAATGAAGGGAAATATGTTTATGAACGAAGAAAATTATTCCACATGAGAGTTGACCCAACTTGCTCCGAGTGAGTGAGTTGGAAGTTTATTATTTCATATGAAAAAAGTAAGTTAATTGGTTAAAACATTGCGAAATATCGACTTACTTTGGAAAATACGATTGTATTGTATTTACATGAAGAAGGTATTTGTGCTTTCTTATTATGAGCTGTATAGTCTTTGGACGATGTTGATCCACAGCAGTGAAACTATAAACAACAGATCATCAGAATTTCGAGTTTGATTATAAATTACATTTTTTTGTAGTTTGTCAAGCTCCATTTGATAGTCAGTTTGTGTCGTATATTCTTTAACAGCAGCACTTAGTGAGCTATTAGCTAACTTGGGGAACTACAAACATATGAAGATTAGTGTGGCAGGATCAATTAAGTTGAATAAATGTGAACCAAACCTCGTCTTCCGCTACAGCTAATTTCATTCCCATACCGATCCACATACAAGTCACAACAATCAACACAAAAATGTTCTAAACAGAGGCATAAGTGAAATACGTTTGTTCACATTACCAAATATATGATGATTTTCCGTTGTTTCAAGTATCCATAAATTCCAACACATGATCCTAATACACCAAGACCTCCTGAGATACAGACAACTATGAAGATTATTGGTTTTGCACTGTGTAGAATAGAACTGAATTGATTTATTGTGATTTCTGGTTGAATACCGAGTGCCAACAGAACAATACTGAATGCCTATATTATATAAGTAAGATAGAATGAACCATATGAGGAGTATACATGTAATGATACTTACTATAAAACTACAATTGCATAGGATAAATAGTTTAGTCCAAGATTCACTTGACAATAACATTTTCAATATTGTTCACTAAGATGATCCTGTCTATGATATTCGATGTTCGATGTTAGTACTGGTAATAGATGTGGGTGAATCAATCCTTCAATCTGAAGTCAAGTTCTAAAATGAAGTAGGATCCATGTTCTTTAATTTATTCATTGTACTGTGCATATTGTAATAGAAATTCATGCACAAACAAAGTTGACTTATATGATACCATACACTAATGAATCAAATCATCATCATCATCATCACCATGGTTTAGCTTGATATGACAATCAAATTCAATAGTAGTGTAAATCTTGTCATTCTAAATAGTTACAACTGTTTGTGTGTATGTTTATGCATTACTTACTTACTTGCTTACTTACTTACTTACTTACACCTGTTACCCCTATGTTTATGCATTACCTAGTGATAATTGTTATAGTCACATTTGAATTTACACAATCGAGTCATGGTTATTAAAAGTAATTATGGTGCCTGTAAAAATTATGTGAAAATGACTTAGACATAATATTGATTAACAATATGAGAAGAATGAACAAAAATTAGATAGAACTAGATAGGAAGGCCCAGGACAGAGTGGTTTGGAGAATGCTCGTCGGCGGTGTATTCTCCATTTGCAGTAACAGAAGTAAATAAGTAAGTTAGTTAGTGTTTATTAATGAACTATATTTGTAGGAATATCATTGATTGGAAATTGAGTATTTCCAACTTTCCACCCATTAAACTTACTATTCATATACGTTATACAGTGATTACTTGAAAATTATCAGTGGTTTGATGCTCAGTAGGTTCAATAATAATTCAGGAGATGGTTGTGTGGAGATTTTAGTAATTCTCTAGAGTTGAGATCATAAGTCAATTGAAGTGCACTACTGAGGAGTTCCACAATAGGACGAATGTTAAACGTTTGATCGGATTCAATAACAATTTACTTTAGGACGTAAAAAAGGCCTTTGAAGCACATATCAATGATGAAGTGGTTATTCGAAGGGGAATTTTTAATTGAATTCGTTCTCAATGATTCTACCACCATGGAAAACCTGGAAGCGCTGGATGGTCGTTTCGTCCTATTGTTCGACTCCTCAGCATTGCGCATCCACGACCTCGCCTCGCGACATTCGAACCCAGGACCTACCAGTTTCGCTCCAGAGCACTCAAACGATAGACCACTCACCCGGCATCCCATTGTGTTAACCTCGAACTCAAACCAATCCACGAAGTTGAGCAAACGTTCGAAAATTGTCTTCATTGATTTGTTATCTCACAACAGATGTGGTTTGAAGTTAACCTGGATTTACCTCTCGAAGTTAGAGGCGAGGTTGTGGATGCTCACTGCTGAGGAGTCTTACAATAGGGCGAAACGGCCGTCCAGTGCTTTCAAATTTTCCATCTCTCAAACTCGTAAGGTGTTTAGTGGAATCCATTCGCTAGAAATCATTTCTTCAGTTTATTCAGATACTAGAAAACGTTAACAACTTCGATCGTTGCATGGTTTCTTCTGATATATTATCACTATTTACAGCAACCCCTTAAGAGAAAAAATACAAATTTTCACCATTCTCATATACGTCCTTCACCGAAAGACGAATTCAAGGAACCACCACTGTTGTCCACCAAAGATGTTCAGTTTCAACTCAACAACATGTTCATTGACAGTCTTCTGGACTGGATCCTGGTATATATCTCCGTGACAAACATAGAACAAACGGTTATGTGTCTACTTGTCAATAATCTATCTCTACATGTTCATTCAATTTATTTAGGACATTTGAGATATAAAGTACCTAGACTTATTTCGTTTTGTTGATCGATTCTATGACTTCCAGTTGTGAGCAGCTGTGTATAATCCACGAGATAAATGAGTTCCTGATATTCTGCTAAGTTATTTGTTTTGGGGGTAATCAAACTAATAAATGATAGTAACTGGGTGAAAACTTTCAAAGTTGCATGAGTGTAAACAGAAACTCAAAATGTTATTGCATATTTGGTAAACGCAACAACGTTTATTTGAAACCGGTAAAAAACGAGCGAAATAAACTAAAGCACAAATGAGGAAGTTGAAGATGTAGTTACATAGTGTGTGAAAAGTAACCGCAAATGATAACAAAAGCTCTATGGAAACTAATAATTGTTAGAATGCGTTCTTGCAACATCAGTTTATAAAAAGGATGATTTAATAAAGAGCATGTGAATAAAAATATAAGCTTAAGCATAAAGATTATACGACTTGGAGAGACGGTTCCGAAAACTAGAAGATTCAATGATTGTAGAGAGAAAGAGAGAGACTAGAGGTTTCAGTTATTCGATGAAGAGTCAATCCTGATGCTTTTGACACGTTTTTACTAACTTTGGGTGATTTTAGACATAAATATTCATAAAGTGGTCCATTCTGAAGTTTCTCATTAGCACTTTGTTTTTTATGACCATGCAGTCTATTGCTTATGAATAATCTTGGATCAAAAATGTGTGAGACATCCTATGTAGGCAATTCTTCACAGAAATAATTGAAATAATTCATCCACAATGAAGTGGTTAATGAAGAAGGAATATCATTTAGATTATCAGTAAGCATAATCCGAGTGAAGTATAGTCACATGAAGGCTGTTGAAAATGAAAATGAGAACTGACGTTTTAGAAGTGACTTTCATTCATCGTTAACTATCTTTAGTCGTGTTATTTCTGAAGCTGATGTTCATGTAAATTAGTTTACTTATCACAGTGGCTACAGATTCGTTGAATCCATTTTTATATCCTTATCTACCAATCGTTCTGGATATTCATTTTCTATGCAAATGTTTCATATGATAGGTAATTATTTTTCGATAGAACTGGGGATACGAATGTTTATCTTCACTACTATGAATAACTTTCTTCATAACTACACGTATGAGTACTGTTGTAATGTCGTGCTTCGCTAATCGTTCACCTAGATAACCGTCATAATACAAATCTTAGCGGTGCGTAAAATCAGAAGGCAAAGAGAAGCGGCAACTACAGTTTTATTGAAAAATGACGCAGGCCAGAAAGTTATAAACACATGAGTAAATATCAGCGAGCGAAACAAGAATAACGCGTATTGGAGATGGCGGATAAGCCAACTCACTTCAACCAAGCATTAGTCAATATTTATAGTCAGACAAGAATAAGTTACAGACATGTGATGAATAGGACAAGAAAAGTACACACACCTAGGATCATATGAAAATGGTCAGGGTTAAGAAGTGAATAATTAACAAGGTGAAAACATGACGCATGATGGATAGATGAATTGGCTTATCCAGAAGTTAGAATAAGGCATATGGGCTTAACATATAAATCGATACTACACTGTAATAAACTTTCAACGTCAAACATGAAATTCACCTATCGACTTCTATTGCACAATGTATTTCATTTCTAGCGATTCGCAAAGTATAATCTAACCAAATTATCCACCATTCATTTTTATAAATCTTTCTGATAATCTTTGCACTGTATAGTATGTTATGTACATGATTGAATGTAGGGATTTTGTTGGTACGTGGGCAACACCATGATGATACGACCAGTATTCTAGTTTGACAACTATTAACCAGTAACACCTTCTATATTCGAATCGTCACTCAGTTGGTTAGTCAGAAGTCAGATGCGAAGGGGTAGGAAAGATATATTTGATGAGCTAACAATATATCGAGAAGCGGTTTTTCTAATCTGGCTGGTGAACGTAGGAGCTGGCCCCCACGCTAAGTCGTAACGTGACCTCGTGAGGATGCATAACCGAAAGCCTTCAGTTAAACAAGTCCACTTAAAACAATGTGGTCAGCATCCAATGTCGAACACTTAAAGAGCTATTGATTTTGAGGAATTATTTACAGCTACAACCTATTCCGAAGGTTTTCAGCAGCGTCGTTGTCGTTTCCGGTATACCTTTTATGTATAGTATACCATACCATATGGTATACCATACATAAAAATGTTATGTACATGAATTTCAAAGTGTTTACACATTGTTTCTGTAGAGAGTAGACAGAAATGTAAACATCTCAAACAATGTGGTGGTTTATACTACCATGGTTCAGTATGTTGAGTAACATAACCTTAGAGAAACAACACTGTCAATGTTGGACTTGGTAGTCTCAGCTAAATTGAGCATGGAGTAGAGATTTCATTATATGAAATATATTGTTTATAATATCCCTATGAGTAGAAAAGTGTATTACCGACGTTTTGTGACTTAGTGTAAACCACTTGTTCAGAGTAAATATGTAGTCGATTGTCTGTTTACCTTTAAAGAACTGACCTATATTAGGTTATGAAACTTAGGAAATACAACTTTAATGAATTACATAATTAAATACCATCTAGTGTTGTTTTTGATTCATCATTGAGATAACGATAATTTGATACCTCTGTTATGATAACTTAAATCAACTGATTCACTTCATTTCAACACTCAGATACATGAGAATGCTCATATAAAATATAAAAATAGAAAGGACTTGTCTAGTTAGTAGTATATGTACACACACAAAAGTAAACGCCAATAAATTCACATAGCAACAGTACATTTTTTGTTGTGTAGGTTGAATATGATCAATTCATTTATCCATTCAATAAACGATGAAGCATCATTTTGATTGACAACAAAGAAAAGAGATAAAAGTGGGTGCAATGTGCATGAATCCAGTTATAGATAAACATTACACACGACAACTATTTACTACATTGTTGTATCTCAGTTGGAATGAGGATAATTAGACGCATATTTTGTACTAAAAAAATCATACATCATGCATCACAGCATTAAGAAATTTAAATCTAAATCAATATCGTGTACTATTGTTTGTTAGTAATGAGTGATGTTTCTGTATCCCTCTTGATTTGCTCATAGTCATTCTTATCCATCGAATCGAGGTATTTGGTGGAGTTCGAGTTATCAATGGAATTGAATCACAGAAGGTATTTGAAGAATACAGTGAAATTTTACTAAGAGCAAAACCAGTCATCTCTCTGAAAGTTTGTATAAC